CCGGTAACATTTCGGAAATCATTCACCAGTTTCAAAATTATTTTACTTACCAATTTCAATTTTTTGTAACTGACAAATGCTATTTCAAATTCTAACAGGTTCTTATTTACTCCGGTCATGCTGTGTGAAGGCCTATAAGTGGGCAACCTCCATTTTTACAAAAAAGATTGATACAATTTTATGATCTGCACTCTTATTTCACAAACACAATATACAAACTCTATTTAGGCAAGAAAAAGATGGTGAGATAGAGCTTTTTTACAAGAGTGCAGTACTTGTAAAGATACAACGAGGTGAAGGTTGGGTTATTGTATCTTAGAGACGGCGTGACCATTAAAATTGCTGCACCAGTGGCACGAAACGTCCCAAAGAGAGTGATTGATCTACGCCTCAACTCAAACTCCTTGTACTCTTGGTGACATCTTTCTAATTTTCATTTTCATATTTAATTAATTGTTTTTTGCTAATCTTTTGTCTATTTTATTCTACTTATTTTACGAGGAACAACAGAAGTTTCACGGTCATTACGCCTTGATGATTTGTGATCCGAACGCCGGTGGTATGTGTTAAGTGGGAATATCCCACATCAAGTATAAAAATAAGAAGCTTGTGGGTTAAATACAAGGAGGGCTACTCCACCTATTGCCAATTGGTTTTAGATTGGATGCAAGCTTTGTGTTGAGCCCACATGCAGGATTTTCAATATGGTATCAGAGCCCAGGTTCTACTATGGGAAGCCCGTTGTTAGCCCACCTGACAGGACTCGAAGTTGATACCGAGCCTGCATTTAAGGGGGCATGTTAACTCACGTGACAGGACCCGACATTCATAGCGGGCCTGCACGTGAGGGGGCGTGTTAAGTGGGAAAATCCCACATCAAGTATAAAAATAAGAAGCTTGTGGGTTAAATACAAGGAGGGCTACTCCACCTATTGCCAATTGGTTTTAGATTGGATGCAAGCCTTGTGTTGAGCCCACATGCAGGATTTTCAATAGTATGATCAGAATCTCGGTGGCTCCGATGGTGCTTGTGGTCACCGTGGTCTTTGGTAGAATCACGGTCACGGTCTTCCCTGTAGTGTTTGGATGATGATTTTTCTCTGTCCATGCTAGGGTTTTGGAAGAGGGGATTACGCTCCCATATGAGCACTTGATAGAGCAGATTGCAGGAGATAGAACTGGCTTTCGGATTTCATTCGCATCGGCTAATCAGCGTCCCGGTTTGATTAATGGGGTTAGCTCAAATGATCCGACTTTCTAGTTAGCCAGAAAGTATCCACTATATATCCTCTGGCCCAAAAAATTAATCCACCATCCAATGTTAACTCAGCCCGCCGGCCCCAAGAAGCAATGCAAATATGAAAATAAAAAATAGAAATAATAATAAAAAGAAAAAGAATTTCGAGAGGCTGGTTAAATCGAAATTAGCATAATTAAACCGGATGTATTAAATAATGATCGCCCAAAACCACCAAATTTCCTTCCCCTAATTTTTACTCGGCTTTTTCGCCATGCCAAGCATACAAGAAATTAAAGGTTTAAGGGCATGTTTGGTTAGAGTATTATTTTATTAGAAAAGTTTTTATTGAAAAAATATTTATTGAGAAAGTGGTTAGAAAAATATATTATAGAAAGTTAAAAAGTAATCTGTAAAAAGTTATTAAGTTTTGTAATGATGTTAGAATTTTGTTAGGTAATTAATTTTATTATGTTTAATAAAAAATTAATATAGAAAAAGTTAATAGGAAAAATTGTTAAGTAGATTAATATAAGGATAGTTATAGGAAAATTTTTTTCTTACAAAATAGGTGAGAAGTAAAAAAATTTACAAGTTAAAAATCATATCAAGGAAAATAAAAATTAAAATACTTCTTTTACTTTTATTTTATGAAAAAATTGGGAAATCAAGACTTCCTAATATTAAAAATATTAGAATGTTTAATTATAATCATTAAATATATTTGATAAAATTAAAGTTGACACTATACCTTACAAATATATCAGACTGGTTAATTAACCCTGCCTTATGCCTTTCTAGCGTGAAGTAGGAGGGGTTTGAAAGATGATAGTAACACTAATAGTGCTTATTTCTGTAAACTGAGGGGATTGGCTGATGTTCATGTAAAAGGGTTTGAGTACCCCTTGTATTTAGGATAGTAATGAAACTTTTGCTGTTCAAAAAAAAAAAAAACTATACCTTACAAATATAATAATTATAATTAGACATTTTGATTTTTTTTCTCTTATTTTATTACAGTATTAATATATAAAAATATATAAATAACTTTCAAAAAAGTTATTTACAATCACATCACGTCATTGCTTAATTAAGGGAAGAACAAAACAACTGCAATTTGTAGAGTTAATATACATAAAAGGTGCTAAAAATAGTTTAAAAGCTAAAAATATTAAAATGCAAAGTATAGTTTAGATATTAAAATTAGCATTTAACTAAAATAAAAAAAAATTTGACAAAAATTTCAGGCACTTTATCGTCCAATAATAAGACCACAATAATAATAATAATAATAATAATAATAATAATAATAATAATAATAATAATAACATAAAGGTGCACATAAAAGTAAAATAATATATACTTCCTGGAATTAGGCATTAAGCATTTTGTTATGTACTTCTTTAATGGCAAGGATAAACCATCTAATTCATTTGACAATAATAACCTTGATAGTTAAAAAGTTTGTAGCCTGATTGATATATAATGGTTTTTAGCAAATGAGGAAGATTTGCTGGAAACTCCTGCAACCAAGTTCAAAAACATAATTTATATTATTTTGGGTTGTATAATGTGAAGAAAATTTCTTTTATTTCTTACTTTATCATACTTATCTATCATACAATTTAAATTCAAGATTTTTTATTTTTTATAAAAAAACTTATTTTCAATAAAAAAATGTTGTTAAAGAATTATTTAAATTGCTAATATATAATTTTATTCATGTTTAAACATGAAAACATGTAAATTTCATATTACTTCTACTTCATCAGATGACATCCTTCTCGTGAATCAATTATTCAGATAGATTAATAGATGATTTCTCCAGGATAGAAAACGACTAGTAAAATTAGGCATTTCCATTTCCGGTCAATTTATCTTCCCCATCTTTGAACAACTCCGGAAGTCTCTCCGCCAAGCTCTTTCTTGCTGCAGGGGAAACACCATGCTCCCCAATAATCGACTCCAGAACAGCCTCACCTAGTAGTTTATTCTCTATCACTGCATTCACAACTTCCGGGATGGAACCATCTTCGGAAAATCCAATCTGCTTGACCCAATGAAACATTAAGTAGTACTCTTGTATTCAAATTCTCAACAAAATGACAAATTATCAAATTGGTTTTTTGGAATTAATTTCTTCTACTCACCTTTAGTGTTCCATTCCCATAGGGAGATACAGTGAAAAGAATTAACGACCCTGGTGGGTGGTTTTCATCCTTGAAGACTTCAATGAATTTCTCAACAGCTTTGGCTTCTGCGTCGCTGTAATTTCCAGCAGATTTCAAAATGGCCACAGAGTTCTTCATGACCTTCTCAGAGTATTCTTGTCCCGTTAATGTCAAGATCAAAGTCACCCGTATGAACTTCTCAAAGGGACCTAAAATTAATCGGAATCATTTCATCAATTCTTCATCATTTAGATTCCCGTGTCATATTTTTACTTAAATCTTTTAAAATAAAAATGAGAAAAGGATTAACCATACCCTCTTTACATTCTTTGGATACTACTCTT